ACCCTTAACTAAGAGAAAACAGTTTCTACAATCTTCTCTCAAAAGCACATCTACGAAGTAAATTAGTGCAAAATTCTTGGGAATTCAATTTAGACTCCAAACTAAATTGGTGTCATCACACAGACCAAGTGGCTCAAAAAATCTCAAAAATATTTTTCTAATACGTAGTCTAGTAGCCTGTAGATTGTAACATATTATTGACAGCATATCATACTCTAATTGGCTCCCATTTGTTTTATGGTCTGATAGTTTTTGGCCTACAACGTAGCGTAATTAGAATAATCACAAACCTCAAATACAAACAGAATGTTAGATCTAAATTTTCGGAGCTTAAAATTCTGACACTGCCACTTATGTGTCTAGTTTACGATTACCGGAATGTGAATAAAGTTCACCCCTACAAAACACGAAATAGGGACAACCTAAGACCTGATTTCATTCTTCTTAATGCGAGTAGGCTAGGTTCAAATTACTACTGCATTCATTATTTTAATATACTTACGGCCGAGAAAAAACAACTCCCAATAAACAGGTTCAAAAACTTAGTCAAAGAAGCGTAGCTTCGACAAAACGAAACCCCACGCACGTTTTTTAAATTTAAATCGTTATCAAGCTTACCACTAAAAATACAGTTTTTCAAATATTTTAACGCCCCCACCCTTATTATTCATATTTCAACTTTTGAGTAATATTATTGACACAACACCGCAAAAAAATCGTACAAAATCTATCTTTGAGGTTAGGATACCACGAGGGATTTAGCGGAACAAAAGAAGAACAGAAACAAGTCTTAATTCGGGAAACTGAAGTTCCCGGAAGTGAATATTCATCGAGCGGAATTTCCCTAAATTTGCGAGAGGATCTCTCCAGAATCGAATTAATGAATTTGAATTGGTTGATTAATTAATTAAAACTAGCTCACCCCGCGTCTATTTCAAAATCCCATCGAACTATTCTGCCAAGCATTCTCCATTTACATCAATTTGAGATTATTACAGCATATGTCAGTTGGATGTACCCCATTTCTCTTTTCTAAATTAGTACTGTGCCATCTGTACGCATATATCGTTCGGCGAATTCCGATTCATTTTCGATGGGATCTCTCCTGTTCCCTTCAAGTAGTATTTATGCATTCGCGTGCTGACCTCTGCGAGTTTAAATGGAAAATTTAACTCGCGGATATCGGCTAGAAGCGTAATTTGGAAATACCTTTGACATTGCTCTGTAGCTAGCAAAAAAAAAGGAAAAATTTTACTACACAAAGGGATTTTAAGATTTCTTTGTTATAATTTTCGGAGTCAACTGATCAAAAAAAAAACCTGCATGGATTTAACATCATTTTCAACAGAATTACTAGGAGGAATGGTGACCCAATAAGTAGCGCCACTACTACATTAAATTGTTGTATCTGTTCCAAGATAAACTAATATTTACTAGCAAGATGAGAGCTGAACAAAAAGATCTGATAATCTCCTATAAAACGCGCTTAAAAAAAACCTTTTTGTGATGCCACAGGATACATGATTTTTTATATTAAATGCAAAAATAAGACATGCGCATGAGTTTTAAAATATCTGTAACCTACCTTTGGACTGAGCCATAGACAATAACAGCGTAATTACAATATGGCCGGATCAAAGACTCACATAACTATATTTTTAATGGCTGTTCAAGTGTATGGTTTTATATAAATTTCTAAATAATTTTTCTGTTACAAATTTGAAAGGAATCCATGTGAATAATCACATCTCTTCCATTCTCAATCTCCTTCAGAACTTCTTCAAAATAGGCATTGGGTTGGCTAAGGTTCTCCGTTGTCATTGCGTTTTATGGCTATATATAAAATTAGACCAAGGAAACAAATTTAACAAAACTAACCAAAACATTTACGTAAATTAAGCTTTACATGTGAAACCTTCAAAAATAAATTTAAAGATCGTCTAATCGATGAACTGAACTCTGGGCTTTCGTGATAATTAGTGGGTTAATTCTATCTTTTGTATATTGCCCACTGATGCTATGCTATTAATATTGTCATCTTGTAAATACAAAATAATATAATGTAAATACTGCTATTTGATTCTAGGTTTAGTATGTTTTGTATTTTGTAACTGTAACTAAATATTATTGTTGATTGTTGATTATTACGACACTTAATCATTATTAATGAAATATTTGTAACTCATTTAATTTTTATTCGTCAAGTTTTATTTATCTTCAACCGCACGGGCAAGCAATTTAACATGACTATCTCAGCCCAAAAAACGAAATGTATGACCACATCAAAAGAGCCGCTCAGATGTAAACTGGAAGTGGACGGGCAAGTAATTCAACAAGACATGGAGTTTAAATATCTGAGTATTGACATTACCAGTTATGGAAATGTGGAGAACGAAGTGAGGCAACAGGTAGCAAAAGCCAATAAAGTGGCAGGCTGCTTAAACGATGTAATTTGGCGAAACAAACATCTGAAAAAACATACAAAAGTACGAGTCTACAAAACAACGATCAGACCGATCATGACATACACGGCAGAAACAAGATCAGATACCGCAAAAACTAGACGACTTCTGGAGACTACGGAAATGAAGATTCTCCGCCGTATCTCAGGAAAAACACTGCTAGACAGAGAAAGAAACGAAAACATCAGGCAATCGTGCGGAGTGGACAACGTGAACGACTGGGTGCTCCAAAGAAAAAGACAGTGGAATGACCATATTAACCGTATGCAAGATGGCAGACTAGTAAAAATCGTTAGAGACAAATTACCAGACGGAAGACAGAGCGTGGGACGACCGAGAAAAAGATGGAACAACGATCTCAATCCAGGTTGAGAGGCGACCGATGAAGGAACAGACCATAGGCCTACTATAGAAGAAAGAAGAAGAAGTTTTGTTTTGCCTTCGCCAAGTTAAAAATAAAGGCCATTTTATTCTTATTCTGCTTATTGGGAGCTAATAATGCATAAAGTTAGAAAATCGAAGATTTTTTTTGGAAATATGAAATATTTGAAATCCAATAATAATTTTTCAAAACTTTTTGACAAAATGACGAAATGATCTCGTGACGTTATAAATGAAATTTCTGTGTAAGGTTATGCTTTGATTTAAACGCGTTTTCAAATATGATTGTAAGGGGTGCTTTTTTTATGTATAGAACTTTAAGTTGCAATAAAACAACGACGGATTATTCGATTGACATGAATTTTATTTATCCGAAAGATAATCTTGTGGCATTACATTTTAAATATGATTTCTGGCATATGACCGCCACGGCTGGCGCGGATGTAGTCCAATCTGGACGTCCAATTTTCGATGACATTTTCCAACATTTGTGGCCGTATATCGACAATAACACGGCGAATGTTGTCTTCCAAATGGTCAAGCGTTTGTGGCTTATCCGCATAGACGAATGACTTTACATAGCCCCACAGAAAGTAGTCTAGCGGTGTTAAATCACAAGATCTTGGAGGCCAATTCACAGGTCCAAAACGTGAAATTAGGCGGTCACCAAACGTGTCTTTCAATAAATCGATTGTGGCACGAGCTGTGTGACATATTGCGCCGTCTTGTTGAAACTACATCTCCTGGACATCATGGTTATTCAATTCAGAAATGAAAGAGTTAGTAGTCATAGCTCTATACCGATCACCATTGACTGTAACGTTCTGGCCATCATCGTTTTTGAAGAAGTACGGACCAATGATTCCACCAGCCTATAAAGCGCACCAAACAGTCAGTTTTTCTGGATATGACGGTGTTTTGACATACACTTGAGGATTAGCTTCGCTCCAAATGCGGTAGTTTTGTTTGTTGACGTAGACCAGAAGTGCGCTTCATCGCTAAACAAAATTCGCTTATGAAAATCGGGAACAACGGCGATCTCGTTTTGGGCCCATTCGACGAATCTATGCCTTACTTGTTGATCGTTTGGCTTCAGTTCTGGCACGAGTTGGATTTTGTAAGCACGTAAACCAAGATCCTTCCCCAAAATCTTCCAGTGGATCGACGCAGATCCAATTCCTGTGCTCTATGGCGGATGACTCATTCGGGTCTTCCTCAATGCTACGCTCTACAGCAGCAATAGCTTCTTCTGTACGCACCGTACGGCGTCTCTGGGGACGCGAGTTATCAATAAGAGTAAACGTGATGCGAAAACGTTCCATGGTTAATCGAATTAACTGCTCTGATGGACGATTTTGTCGACGATAAAGTGGACGTAGTGCGCGATACGTATTCCGCACAGAATCATTATTTTCGAAATAAAATTGCACTATTTGCAAGCGTTCTTCAGGCGTGAGTCTATTCAATCACTTGACAGCTGTTAAATCAGTCGCCATCTTGAAGAGTAATGCCAACTTAAAGTTCTATACATCGAAAAAAAACACCTTATAAATAGAGTCGATAGTTAGTTGCGTTAAAACCTTCCGAGTGCGTTCTTCTTATAAGAAAGAGAAATGAAATATTTCTATAATATGAACATCTCCAGCGTATTATTTTACCCCATGCCCTTCAAACATAATGATTTTGACTTAATTTTTTTTTTTTAATATTTGGTAATATTTAATAAAAATATGAACGAATTCTTACATTATCTTTTATACAGAAAATGGAATACCGCTTCGCCACGGTAATTGTAAAGTTGGGTTTATTTTAACAACAAGAAACCAAACAATTACCCTACGAACACTTGGGGGGTCGCCATATCGCATAGATTATAATTTGACACACAACCTCTACACGTTTAACATTGTTTATTAAAAATAACAGACCATACACTTAACCGTTTGGGAACCGGAATTGTATACGCAATAAAATGAGTTTTATTAGAGCTCGACATGCGGGCGGCTCCACTTTTAAGTATCAATGTCAAAGAATTGTGCCGCCATCGTTTGACGGAACCAGAAGGATCGTTTGGACTTAAGCTATTTTAGGAAAGACGTGTCGCCGCCGCCGCGAGTGTTTTCACAGGAAACTTTCGCGAACAATGATCTTACTCACTTGTCTTGGACCTCGGTTCCCTGGGTCCGTCCACGGTCACTTTGATGGCTTTGTTATACGTCGCTACTTGTGGCGGGCTGGTGGATACCATTATCGTTAAAGTGAAACTTTTTCCTGAAACAACAAAGTACACGCTTAGAGCAGAAAAAAACCTCATGGAACTTCTGTCACGAAAAATTTTTCTCACATGTGTTTCCACAGAAACACTGGAATTGTGGAAGTTTTCACTCATGTCGTCCAGCTGAAAGAAGCAACAATTTGTAGTAATTTTATATTAAAGAAGTCAATAAAAAATAATGAAAGAAAGGTTGCAGCTTATTGTCGTGCCCTTAAATCTTATAGTAATACAATGAAAAGGTTTTACAGATATCGGGTGGAAAATTTGATGAAATGAAGAGAAAAAAGGATATATAGTGAACATTGCTAGAGGAGTTACAACAACATTGCTTTCGAAAGATCGTCGCTGGGCGGGGCAAGTTCGTCGCAAATACCGCGAATCAGCTTTTTATTTTAAAAAGAAGGCGCTTCGCGGATTCTTGTCCTAGAGGGACGCATTGTTTTTATATCGTGTCCCTGCGGACCACTATGGAACTTTGCAGAATCGATGTAATTTGATTGTGAATACACCCTTGTATAATGTGTCCTTCACATCTCGTCGAATTTCAAAGTTACGGCAAACTTCGGTAAATACTAAAATTTGTACTGGTAATTGCAATTTAAAATTATATTTTTTCAAATATCTCGCATCCACTGTATTATAGACGAAACCTCAAACTCCCTCTCGACACAGTTTACGATACTGTTTATATCAAATTATATCAAATTATCACAAGTTTTTATTTATCACCAATAATTCACCCACAAAAGCAGAAATTTGTAGGATCTATTAGAATTTTTTTCCCAGAAACGACGTACCCTGTATATAGTTCCAAGAATAGAGGCTAAAGCTCTGGATCTCCTTAGTTTCCCGATATCCGAACTTTTTCAATGGTGTAAATAGTTTTCAAGAAACTACTAAGTCTTGTTTTCTGAAACCATGCAGTACGTGGTAATAGTAAATGACGTCATCGCGTCTAAGGGCGAGAAATAATGATTTTCATTTGGATTTTTTCAAATATCTCGAACAGCGTATGTGATTGAGGAAAGCCGTAAATACAAAAATTGTGGCCCTTGATACGCCTTATAACACTGTTTGAACGGATTAGCTATTTTTTGTACGAATTTTGATTTACGGTTAATAATTTAGTCTCTAGAACTAAAACACCTTGTATATAATCGAAAAAATGCGTGAAACATAAGTTATAACGCCACCTATTACGGTTGTAAAATTTTTCCGATCGGATGAATGATTGTGGAGAAAAAGATGTTTTTCTGAATGCCAAAATAACCAAAAAAAATCAAAAATAAAAAAAAATACTTCGCGTTATTTTGTTGCTCCCAATTTAAAGAGTCTAAATGCGGGTCCAGAAAATATTACATAATATTATATAACTAACTAACCAAAACTAACGCAAAGCATAGTCAACACTCTTTGATTTTAATGGACGACGCCTCCCTTCACTTGACCATCTAAACCCCATAAAGCAAGTTAGTAGTCGACTTCTCGAAATGCCGCTGGCTGAGGCTGCGGTCAACCTTCGCGGTGACCCACGGCTCGTTGCCTAACCAAATGCCTCACCAGACAACCTCCGCGTGTATGAATTCACGCGTGATCGATTTTACGATGGACTAAGATCGTTACCATAGCGGCATCGGTAAGTCCCTCACAACTTTTTATTTCGATTTAGTAACTGCTCTCTACAAATCGTCCAAAAAAAAATAAATTACAAAATTTGAAATACAGTTCACTAGTTTTCTTTTCCTTTTTTGTATTTGATAGCGAAATTGAATTCTTCGAGTTAAAGCCCACAACAAATAAGGCCAGAATTGGGTTCTTTTAACTTTGATAGCCATACTAGTAGGATATGGTCCGTCTCGACGACAAACTTTTGACAGTCTAGCTAAGAACGAAAACGTTTAATAGAGTCTATGATCGATAATAGCTTTTTTTAATGGTAGAATAATTTCGATATGGTGATTTTTCTTAACCGGTCTCGAATAAGTGTGTTTGAATTGCTCTTCATAATCGATTATTAGGAGATAGGAAAGTATTTCATGTCTGGGTATTACTATGAACAGTAACGTCAGAATCGTTGTCGATGGGTATGTGATCTGGACTTTTGGTCTGGGAAAAGCTATTAATTGGGTTATTGTATCTTTCGTTAACAACAAAATCTTCTAAATCAGATTAGATTTCTTATTTATTTTTAATTCGTATTTTTTGTTTTGTTTAGGGAAAGGGTTTTCTAGGTTTCCTAGGGAATTTTGGAAATGCCAGATAATTTATTTTGGACACCAGTTTGATAACATTTCGCAATAATACTACTATATATTTGTAATTGTTGTAATTGGATACGATTGGTTCCATTTTGGAACAAACCTTTGTAGTACTAAAATAATTTTATAAAGTACCCATAATAGGATTTTTCATATCCTAAAAGTAAAACTCTTTGATAAATTGTATATTTTTGCCACTCTTTATAACGTGAATAACCTCATAAATGAATATGTATATCGAAAAATGAGATGTTCCATTCTCCATTTTTGAGAAAATTTCAAATATAAAAACGCAATCTGATTCTCGTTTTAGAAAAGTCCTCATAACTTTTTAATTCTGAAAATCATTTCTGTCCTTTTTATCATATAAGTTTTGTATTAAATCAACCGATGTTGTTTCTCTAGAAAATTTATGAAAAAAGAATATCAAATTTGTGTAAAAAGTTATTAAGTCAGTTGTAAACAATTTTCTCAATAATTTCGTATTTTCAAGCGCAAGGATATATGCCGTCTATAAGAGATGTGCTAAGCACTAGCGATAAATAGCTATCATAAAATCTGATTGGCACATTGTCAGCCCTAGTTTGCTTATAGCAGTATAAACATTTCAGAGGGTCCCACTGAGTAAATCGAACCGGTTTAATCTACCGTCAGGTACAGATGTCAAGTATGTCATCGGGGATTTCGATTTTTAATTTTTAAGAAATTGAAGGTAATATCCGGTCCAGAGATCTTTCTATTTCTCTGAATCTAAGTGGTTCTGGCTTTTTTCAATGACCTGTTAATAATTCTTTCTTTTTTTTTTCTCTTCGGATATTTTAAATTTAAGACATTTTATAAACCCCGAATATTTAGGTTTAATACTTGAGTCATAAGGAAATTGAGTTTTTATAAGTCTACGAGTTTATTTTCTTTGCCCTTTTAGAAATACAATTGGAACATCAAATGAAACAAACCAGATATTTCTGAATCCCGCCATCAAAATCATGGAAATTAGATACAACGATCTAAAAAAGAAGCGAAATTCGCTAACAGATTCAACAGTCGGGTTTCTCTAAAATTTGGTTGCTCTTCCTGTTTGATGACTGTCGGAAGGTCAGGGTTAAAGTTTTTTACCGTTACTATGCCTAGAAATACTGGTGTACTGGGTACATGTATAGATTTAAGTTTAGGTTGAGGTTTATTTAACCACAGTATACAAAACATACGTATAGGGAGTCAAAACAAAATAAACATATATATAAACTCAATATATGAATAAAGGTATAAAACACGAAACAAATTTGTAAAATTAGACAAGTTATACAGGTTTAAAAGTTGAAATTTTGCTATTTGTCAGAACTGTAAAAACCTTTTGCCAGTAGAAACTTGAAAGCTCTTTTAGATGATTTTTTTACCAAGGCATTTTATGTTGTACAAACTGATTTACTAAGACGGTATCGGAAAACCATTAACTGGCGTGCATTACGAATGAGTATCAGACAGAACATTATTATTATTTATTATTATTATTAATCCGAAAAGGCTATTGTATAGGAAAGTAGATGGTAAGGTCGTAATATCAAAACTGTGAGAATGTGTTCTACAAGATTCTCTCTATTCCAAACCAAGAAGAATTCGGACAGCTTTTTTTTTAAGAGACGAAACACTATGACTTCACAACTCCCGCCCGCTCATCGGCAACTTCTACTTCTGTTCAATTCGTCTAGAGACGAACTAACGCAGGTAATTGTGGCGTCGTCTGCAAATAGTGTCCAATTGATGAGTTTAATAATGAATGACACCCTGACGGTGGTATGTCCATCAATAAGATTCGGTTTGTCGCATCAGATTGAGCATCAAGTCTGTGTATAGCCTAACTAGGTCAAAATCTGAGACAACCCTAGTGTCAGATGTCAGATAATACTAGAACCGCGTCATGGAAATGACAATTGTCCATCCATCTACAAAGTCCCATTTTCTTATAATAATTCACAGTGTTATTACTGCTCCCAAAGTAGTTGATGTCTCAAAGTGGAGTAGTAAGCTAAAGAGAAAGAAACTCCTCCTTAAGTTTCATCACTTACGGATACCATCTGCTCCTCGCATTTTAATTATTCTATTCTATAATTAACTTATTCTATCCCTCTAAGATTCGCTGTGAATTTTTTTCATGTTCCTATGATTGCTTCTTCCATGTCCCTAGCCACTTGCGCCGACGACTCGGTATTTCTTCTTTTAGGAGCAACTTAATATAATTTAAAAGTAAATAAATCTCCTCCAAATATTGAACATTTAAAGTTTTAACCAAACTTTAAAATTATTTGCCTTCAACCCCGTTTTTTCTAACTCGAGATGGTTTGCTTAATTGGTCACTCGACCCCCCAAATATGCTATTTTAGGCGATAGCAATTGAGTGCTTGAGTGCTCGAAACATGTACTGACGTATTGACGCCATTTTATAAAAAATGATTTTACATTGAATTACTGTGGAAAAGGACAACGTTACCACTTTAAGATACACTTGAAAAATTTGTCAACTTATAGCTAGGAATCGTTTCCGAAAAGCGTTTCGCAAGAGGAAAATTTTGTTTTAAGAGAGACCTTTACATTACAACGTTAACAATCGAGCACCCGTTAGCATTTAATCAAACGTTCACCGCAACCTTCGAGAAAGTTCTAAAGGAGTAAAATTAAATATGCCCGCGTATTTCGGATAGAGATTTCCCGGTCTTAATCCATCATTCATCATTTTTCGG